GCCCGTTCAAGTGCCACCTCTGCCCCAAGGCCTTCCCCTCCCGGGGGGACCTCAAGCGGCACATCAAGATCCACCTGCGCAGGAAGCCGCCCCCGCCGGTCATGGCCCGCAGCAGCTCCTCGAAAAAGAGCTTGGCGGCCAAGATGCAGCTGCAGTGTCACCTGCGTTGCCCGCCCGATCCGAAGAAACCCTACAGCTGTGCGGAGTGCGGGAAGAGCTTCAACAAGAAGCAGAGCCTGCGCAAACACCAGGGGACGCACTCGACGGAGAGGCCTTTCGCCTGCCTGGAGTGCGGGAGCAGCTTCCGGCTCAAGCAGATCCTGGTGGCGCACATGGCCTCGCACATCAAGGAGCGCCCCTTCCCCTGCAAACAGTGCGGGAAGTGCTTCGCCCAGGAACGCAATGTGCGCAGCCACCAGAGGGTGCACACCGGCGAGAAACCCTTCCTGTGCATGGCGTGCGGGAAGCGCTTTGGCTACAAGCAGCATCTGGTCAAGCACCTACGCTTCCACACTGGCGAGCGGCCGTACCGATGCCCCGAGTGCGGGAAGACCTTCCGGGATAAGGCCACGCTGAACATCCACTACCGCATGCACACCGGCGAGCGGCCGTACCGCTGCCCTTTCTGCAGCAAGACTTGTCGGCAGAAGCAGCATCTCAACAGTCACCTGAAGGTCCACCGCGGGGAGACGCTGCCCCTGGGGGACACCACCGGGCTCATCCTGCAAAGGGTGCGTGCCAAGGAGAAGCCATACGAGTGTCCGCAGTGCCAGAAGCGCTTCCGGAACAAGAAAATCATGTTGGTGCACCAGAAGATGCACAAAGATGAAGTGCCGCGAAGTGCCCCACTGCAGAGCAAGAGGGGTCTACTTGTGGCAGATAGAAAGGCCCCCAGGGCAGGCCAAGGGGCAGGGAGGAAGAGGAAGGATGCGGGGCTCACTTCAGGGATGCCGTCCGCCCAGCCGGAGACGGCTCCCATCACCTGCGTCGACTGCGGGAGGCGATTCACGCAGAGGAAGTACCTGACGCTGCATCAGAGGAGCCACAGGTGAGGAGACGCTGGTTTCCGTTGGAATCTCATTGTCCACGAAGACTCTCGGGATGGCACACGGCACAAGAACCGTCGCGGAGGAGGTGCTGGTTTGGGAGGCGCTGCCCACAAAAATGTCTAGACACAGCGCTGCGAGAAACATTGCTTTATTGTAGACAGTGGCACTGTTTTGACCCCCCCAGGACTAAAATACTCCAGCTTTTACTCCTGCCCTTTTGGGACAAGGGACAGCGGGCTGTTCTCCCAGTTTTAAGAGTCAACAGTCTCTCCCGCAGGTTTCAGATTCGTGTATCTCTGGTTTGAGCAACCAGCGGAGGACCATCAAAACAAGCCTGACACAGGCATTCATAGTTTCTAGAGCGCAGGTGTCAAACTCGCCACATCGCACGACGTGTCGCAACTTTTTTTGCATTGCCGGAGCTAGAGTGAGTGCGGCCTCGGCATGATGCAACCGGCCCATGGGCCGGAAGTTTGACACCCCCTTCTGAAGTGCGTAACGCTAAGCCCGAAAGACCGTTCGGTCTTCGCCCCCACTTGATCGAGGAGGGTTGTTCCTCTTCCAGCTCCGTGATTGTGAAAAAAACGTAGTGGCCGTCCCCATGGTATTCCTCCATAAATAAAGGTTAGTCCTCGACTTACGACAGTTCATTCAGTGACCTGTTCAAAATGACAACGGCACTGGAAAAATGGGAGTTACGCCCCATTTTCACACTTATGACCATTTGCAGCATCCCCAGGGTTGACGGGATCAAAATTCAGGCGCTTGAGCAACTGGTTCATCACCGTTGTTGTGATCCCCTTTTTATGACCAGCAAAGTCAAGGGGGGAGGGGCCAGATTCACTTAACGACTGAGTTACCAACTTATCTACGGCGGTGATTCGCTTAACAACCGGGGAAAGGACAGTTGTCAAACGGGGCAAAACTCACTGAACCGATGTCTCACCCAAAAACAGACATTTGGGGCGCTCTTGTCGTCGTAAGTTGAGGACGGCCTGTACGCGAACGGGTCCCTTATTCCTGCAAATGCCCTCGGACGTCGCGTCGCCCTCCGAACACCCTTGAAGGCTTTCGGGATGCTGGGACTTTGCTCCGTGAAAAACAGCGGCAGGTTTTAGCCGGAAGCCGGAACTGGTCAGCGGAACGTTCCTGCATCGTGACCAAAGAACCACTTTTCAAGATAGCCGCAATAAACCAGAAAATTAATATGATGATGGAGGAGAAGGAGGAGGAGGAGGAGGAGGAGGAGGAGGAGGAGAAGGAGGAGGAGGAGGAGGAGGAGGAACTGTGGGGTCCTTGGTGCTCTCTGACCTGGGTGGTTTCTTTGCAGACGTCTCAGGACCCAACTAAGGAACATCATCAGAGCTAGAAGGGGAGGGGGGGAGCGTTGTGGAGTGGAGGAGAAGGGGGGGAGGAGGAGTTGAAGTCCACCCCTCTTAAAGGATGCCGGCGGGGGGATTCTGGGAATTCTCCACTCTTGAAACACGCTGGCTGAGGAATTCTGGGAGTTTAGATCCACCCGTCTTAACATGCAGACTCTGGGACTTGAATTCAACGCATCTTAATGTGCGGGCTAAGGATTTCTGGGAGCTGACCTCCACCCCTCTTGAAGCATGCCGGCTGGGGGACTCTAGGAGTTGAGGTTCACCCATCTTAAAGCATGCTGGCTGGGGATTCTGGGAGTGGAAGTCCACCCCTCTTAAAACATGTATAGGGGATACTAGGAGTTGAAGAGGAGAGGTGAAGTTCGTACGACCGACCCCCCGAAGACCCTCAACTTCAGGTGGGTAGAATTGTACGTCTGACCCCCTAAGACCCTGAACTTAAGTTGGGTAGAATTTCGTAAAGGCACACCCTCCCTTTTGAATACCCTCACCTTCAGGAGGGGAGACTTTCGTACCGACCGACCCCCTAAGACCCTCAACTCAAGGTTCCCTCTTAAAACATGCTGGCTGGGGGATTCTGGGAGCTGAAGTCCCCACTCTTAAAGCGTGCCGGCTGGGGGATTCTGGGAGTGGAAGTCCACCCCTTTTAAAACATGTTGTATAGGGGATACTAGGAGTTGAAGTCCTCCCCTCTTACAGCATGCCGGCTGGGGGATTCTGGGAGTCGAAGTCCACCCATCTTACCATGCAGACTGGGGGATTCTGGGACCTGAATTCAACCCATCTTAAAGCATTTCCGTGTGGGAGGGAAAACTTATGGGAGTGGAAGTCCTCCCCTCTTAAAGCGTGCCGGCTGGGGGATTCTGGGAGTTGAGTTCCACTCCTCTTAAAGTATGCTGGCTGGGGGGATTCTGCGAGTTGAAGTCCTCCCCTCTTAAAATAGGCCGGCTGGTGGATTCTGGGAACTGAAGTCCCCACTCTCTAGGCTCTATTTTGCATTTCGGTCGATCCAATCTGGATGAAATTCTGACCGGATATGTCCCAGTCGACTCGTCGTTCTTCCGAAACTCGCCATATTTCCGTCATCGGCGCTTGCCTCAAGTGGATTCGGCCTTCCCCCAAGAGAGTACAGGAAATCCTCGACTCCTTTAGTGACGCTTCAGAGTTACGACAGCACTTTTTTAAAAAAGCGTTTTCCCCCCTTAACAACCGTTGCTGCATCCCCAGTGATCAAAATTCAGACGCTTGGCCCCCGGCTCCTCTTTATGACGGTCGCAACGTCCCGGGGTCACGCGGTTTCCCGTTTTGCGACCATCTGAGAAAGGACATCATGGGGGGAAGCCGGAATCACTTCGCAACCAGGGTGGGGTGGGGGCTAATTGAACTGCTGCAGCGCTTCGTGTAACAGCGGCGAGAAAGGTCGTAACCTGAGGCAAAGCCCGCTTGACGGCCGTCTCGCTTAGCGAGGGGAATTTTGGGGCTCGGGGGCGGTCCTAAGGCAAGGGCTGCCGGCGAGCCATCATCACCAACTGAGTTTAATGGTAGCCAGGCTCCACCTGTGGGGATGCAGCCACCGACCCCACTGGTTGCTCCCAGAGACTGAGTGGCTTCTGCCGGCTGGCTTGGCAAAGGGGATCTTCGGCAGCTACCTTTCGCTCCAAGGCGGTCGGCCTCTCCGGGTGCAGCGCCTGGCGCAAGGCTCAAGCGGCAGGAAGGGGAAGGGTACTGGGAGCAGCAACTGGGTGAGCCTGGGGGCTCCAACAATGGAGGACCCCCCCAAAGCCATATACGTCTCCCCCAAGTCTTCCTTCCTCCCTTTGCCCTGTGTCCGTCCTTTCCTTCCTTCCTTCCTTCCTTCCTGTCCTGTGTCCTTCTTTCCTTTCTTTCTCTGACTTGTGTCCTTCCTTCCTCTTTCTTTCTTTCTTTCTTTCTTCCTTCCTTCCTGTCCTGTGTCCTTCCTTCCTTTCCTTTATTTCTCTGGCTTGTGTCCTTCCTTCCTTCCTTCCTTCCTCTGTCCTTCTGTCTTTCTTTCTTTCTTTCTTTCTTTCTTTCTTTCTTTCTTTCTTTCTTTCTTTCTTTCTTTCTTTCTTTCTTCCTTCCTTCCTTCCTTCCTTCCTTCCTTCCTTCGTCCTGTATCTGTCTTTCCTTTCCTCCTTCCTTCCTCTGTCCTGTGTCCTCCCACCCTCCTTCCTTTCCTTTACTTCTTGTGTCCTTCCTTCCTTTCTTCGTTCCTTTCCTGTTCTCCCTCCCTTCCTTTCTTCCTGTGTCCTTCCTTTCTTCCTTGCTGTCCTGTGTCCGTCCTCCCTCTCTCCTTCCTTCCTTTCTTCTTTCCTTCCTTCCAAAATAACAGAGTTGGAAGGGACCCCGGAGGTCATCCATTCCAGCCCACTACTCAAGCGGGAGTCGTAGAACGACAGCGTTGGAAGGGACTTTGGAGGTCATCCAGTCCAACGCCCTGCTCGAGCATGAGACCTGAGACCACTTCAGACCCCTCTCAAGCCCCTGGGGGCCACTGGATCCCTCGCCCACCACAGACCTGGGCCCTCACCCCAAAACCTCACAGACCCCCCCTTCCCGGCGCGGAAACCTCCGGGGGGGACGCGAGAAAAAACCAGACATCCTTCAGGAAGCGGCTGAAAATGGTTTATTGACTGGCAAAGAAGAGAAAGGCCGGGCGAGGCTGGAGACTGGGGTGCAGTGTGGGGTGCCCCCGTGGTGCCCCGATTTGGGATCCTCGAAGGGAGGCATCAATCAGCGCTTGGCGAGGTCACCGCCTGCAATGAAACGACAAGAAACTGGGAGGTGGGGTTCTGGGGGGGCAGCCTGGAAGGCGGGACTCCTTCAAGGGTGGAAGATTTGGGGGTGAATGGGTGGGGTCTCTTTTGAGGGGTGCCTCCTTGCAGAGCTCCCTTGAGGTTGGGGAGCTGAGTAGGGGGCTGGACTGGCCGGGCCTGAAGCAGGGATCTCCAAAGTTGGCCCCTGTAAGACTTGTGGACTTCAACTCCCAGAATCCTCCAGCCGGCAAGCTTTAAGAGGGGAGCACTTCCATTCCCAGAATCCCCCAGCCGGCAAGCTTTAAGAGGGGAGGACTTCAACACCCAGAATTCCTCATTCAGAATGCTTTAAGAGGGGTGGACTTCAACTCCCAGAATTCCTCATTCCGCATGCTTCAAGAGTATAGGACTTCTACTCCCAGAATCCCCTAGCCGGCATGCTTTAAGAGGGGAGGACTTTCACTCCCAGAATCCCCCAGCTGGCCTGCTTTAAGAGGGGTGGACCTCAACTCCCAGAATCCCCCAGTAACACCAGAAATCAGAATTGTTTCTTTAAATAAAATTTGCTGAAATTCCTTATGTTCACTAACGAGAGGAAGCGATTGGGACCTTTTAGCCATTTCCCTGTTTCTCTACTATTCCGCAGACAATAGCTGTTTCCTTCCTAATCAGCTTTTGTTCCCTTATCGACGTACACAAATAAAGTTATCAGTGCTTGCTGAAATATTGTACGATGTGGTTCCTTCCCTGCCTTAGGGCAGGTCCTATCTTTGCTCAGATCTGAAGAAACACGTAACTTAAGAGAGTATGTCTCTGTTCAGATCTGAATAGATGCGTAACTTAA